GAGGCGGCCCGGGCGTGACGTGATATCACGGCCCGGGATTTTAAAACTCTTTGGAGGCAGGTGGCAGGGCCACGCTGCCTCCGGGGCCTGAGCGAGGCCTCTGGCCCCGCAGTGTGGAAGGCAGAAGGTAGGGAACGGGCTTGGGCGGCAGGGAAGGCACCAAGGGACAGGGTGCAGGAGAGAGAGACAAATGCCAGGGGGCCAAGTGCAGACAATGAGGGAAAGGGCAGGAGGGGAGGTGTCAGTGGGAGGGTGGACAGGGTGATGCTAGGAGAGGAGAGGGGAAGGGTATTGGGGGGCTGGAGGAGGAGGTGCTGGGAGAAGGCTTGAAAGAAGGGGTGGGCATGAGGAAGACCAGGATGGAGCAAGTCATGTGTGAGGGCACAGAGGGGAAGGAGGGGAATGGGGCAGAAAGTGGTGAGGGGGTGGGTATTAGGGGAAAAAGGGGGCAGGGGCAGTAAGGGAAGGGGGAGGCACCAGGAGGGTGCAGGGCTAAGGGAAGGTGCAGGTGCCAGGGGATTCTGGGGTGAGGAGGAGGGGAGAGCTGGCCACCGGAAGCAGCACTGGATGGGGGAATCAGGGCAGGATGGGGAGATTGGGAGGCTGGTGGAAATAGGGCTGCCAGGGGGTGCGAGGTTGGGGGCAGGGAGCTGGCCGGGGAAGACTGGGGGAGGGGAAGGAGGGAAGAGAGAAGCGGCCGCTGGAAGGAGGGCTGGATGCAGGCAGCGGGGCTGGCCAAAGGAGATTGGGAGGAGAAGCGGGGGAGAACTGGCTGCCCGGGAGGGGGTTGGGGGAAGTGGGGCTGGCCAGAGGCACGGCGGGAGGGAGCAGGGAGGAGGAATGAATCGGCCTGCGGGGAGTGGGACTGACCAGGCCATATGTAGATCTTGGGGCGCTACCCCCATTCCCTCCTCCTCACCGCAAAGCACAAAGCATGGGTTAGTCCGGCCCGGGGATTCTATTGTCCCCACACACACCCCTCAAGTAGTTGCGAACTGTCTGGCTGGTAGACACACTCATGCAGCCTGAGCACATTTACCAGCAAGGCAGTTCGAAACTACGAACTGATACATCTAGTAATAATACAACTTACCTAATGAGAAAATACCAGACATGTTATATGTCTGGTATTTTCTTAGTTTGTTTTTTATGTGTTTATATTTTTGGGCTGCAAAAAGCAGTACTGAAAAAAAAAAAGGGGTTCCAACTGAAGTAAAATGTTTGGGAAACCCTGGTATAACCAGCTTTCTGTCTGTCTTATAGTCCATTTATCCAATCCATATTCCTTAACTTGCTGGCAAGAATATTGTGGGTTACCATATCAAAAGCTTTGCTAAAGCTGGCACTGGGGGTTTTGGGAGGACCAGAAACTTATCTGAATATTCATCATTTGATTAATGAATATGCAAATAGACATTACCGGTCCTCCAAAAGTTCGTGAATGGATTTACTGGTCCCCGTGTCAAAAAGTTTGGGAACCCCTAGACTAATCGAATAGTCGAAGCATTTTGCATCGACTATTTGATTAGTCAATAGGGCGCCTCTGCCTTTGAAGTGCAGCAATAGCCCTAGGGTTGTTGCTACACTTCAAAGGCAAAAACGCTACGTAGAGCCCGGGGTCAGCTGGAGATTCTCCCACTGAACCCAGGCTTCATGCCCCACTGCCTCTTTGAAACACCATGGGTCAGTGGGGGAGTCCCCCAGACAATCCAGGCTCCATGCGGAGCTGCCACTTTGAAATGCTGCAAGGAGCCCGACGCTGGGCTCCTCGCAGCGTTTCAATGCAGCAGCGCAGCACAGAATCTGGGGTCAGCTGGGGAGTCCCATAATATTGATCCTGGCTTCAGCTGTATGTTATCTCTTGTTTACTTTTAATTTCTCTCCATTTCTGTAGCTGCCCTTTCTGTATCCAGCTTATGTTGGAAGTAAAGCATTGCACATCTGTCCAATTTAAAAACTTGTCCAGAAGGGCAATTTCAGCATGAATCTAAAATCCTTGACCACAAATAATATTATTTCTTTGGTATGCATACTCTATGGCCCTAGGGGCAACAAGTCTTTGTTGCTAAGGATTTTAGATCCATGCTGAAGGGACATTCACCTGCCTAGTCTCAGGCTCCAAACTCGAGTCTAGTGGATTGGAGATAGTAGATTTTGTGGTGTTCTGGGATGGGGACAAAAATGAGGGCTCAGTACACAGGAGGAGGCTGCTATAGAGTGGATGGGGGGGTCTGGGCAAGAGGTAGGGTGTTGGAGTGGGCTGAGGGCAGGGAATCTGGGTAGAGCAGAGAGTGCAGGAGGGATCTGGAAGGGAGGAAGTGTACAGAAGAGGGCTGGGTATGGGCCCTGAAAGGAGGGGGGAAGGGTCCAGGTGAGGGTGAGGGCTTGGAGTCTGGAAGAGGGATGCAGGAGCAGGGTAGAGGGTGTGGGTGGGAGGGAGGGTACAGGAGCACACTGTAGGTATGGGAGTTTATTATAGAAATGCAGAAAAATAATTTTAAAAAAGACTTAAATAAGAGCCTTGATGACTTCTGGTTCACATTCCCTTTCAGAGAGTCAGTGGACTCGAAAAAAACAACCAAGATTGAAGAATAAACTGAACACAACATTGTAGGTGAAGTAACAAAATGAAGTAGGTGACAGAACATTTCCAAAAAGAATCTTCTGATTAAGAACAATAATGATAGCAATGAGGAAGAGTGAATATACTGGTGACCCATATTTGACAGCTGAAAATTAGTATTAGGCCTGCCAGCAGGGAGAAAATTCCCCCGATGCTTTTGAATCTTAGAAAAACTTGATTTAACTACTAGGTCTGAATTTGAAGGAAAACCTTTCAGATTTAGAAAAATGGTACAGTCCAGCATCTGAAATGGGAAATGACAATTGCAGAAGCTAGTATCATGTGATTGCGAGGTATATAGGGCAAAAGCAACACACAAAAATCCCTGAACTTAAAGGGGAGATTTTTCGATCTTTCTGAATCTAAGAATATGTGCCTGGAAAACAGTCTGGTAAAGAAAAACACACCGCAGGATTTTGTGAATGAGGGGCAGAAATGGTTCTTATTGCTTGCTAATCCATACACTATTCAAACAATAATGAATGTGGGATATGAACTCTGCCAGTCAGATCATGCAAAAGATTAAGAAGGATACTGAAAGGAGGATTCAAATGATGAGAGAAATAGTGCTTTCGTTACTGATTTTATTTTCACCGCCTCATAATGGGTTACACTGTCCTAAATAATACTGTTTGTTCTTCCTATTAGATTTTACTGCGACTATCACTGCATTAAATAACAGGGATAAACTAATAAATGCCAATAGAAGGTGAATCTAGAGTGCTAAAATATATAACTACGAAGATAGGGATATCAGCAGTATAACATGTGATTTTGTTTAATCCTGTGCCAGTGTTTCAGAAATACTTTGACACATAACATCATAAACAATAATGAATATGGGATAATAAACTGACAATTTATTGCAAATGTGCTGTTATTCCACACTCTTTATTTTCCTTACCAGCTTTTGTTAATCTATTCTATGGCACAGCATCTATGGACAGTGATATAAGAAAAAAAATCAGGAGTTAACTTTTAAAAAAAATCTGATAGTAGAGTAAGCCCAACAGTTGAAGGGGATCATATAATTTTACGCGCTAACATTGCAGTTATGTTAAGGAAATTTTGTAATAGAAATAGACACCTTTATGTTTCTCTGTTCTTGAATAAAATAGTATGTCCACTATTTGTTGTTTGGGAATTAGTGGAAATGTACGAATAACTGGATTTGGGTTTTTTGTTTTGTTTTTGCTGTTTCTGATATTTTAATGTGTGTAATGTGCAGAAAAGTTTAAATGGATACAAATAATAACCTAACTAAAATACAGGCAGTCCCTGGGTTACGTACAAGATAGGGACTGTAGGTTTGTTCTTAAGTTGAATCTGTATGTAAGTCGGAACTGGCATCCAGATTCAGCCACTGCTGAAACTGACCAGCGGCTGACTACAGGAAGCCCGAGGCAGAGTTGCTCTGCCCCGGGCTTCCTGGAATCAGCCGCTGATCAGTTTCAACAGGCTGAATCTGGACGCCAGTTCTTACATACAGATTCAATTTAAGAACCCCAGGGGTCCCCAAGTCAGTTGCTGCTGAAACTGATAAGCGGCTGATTCCAGGAAGCCCGGGGCAGAGCAACTCTGCCTCGGGCTTCCTGTAGTCAGCCGCTGGTCAGTTTCAGCAGTGGCTGAATCTGGATGCCAGTTCCGACTTACATACAGATTCAACTTAAGAACAAACCTACAGTCCCTATCTTGTACGTAACCCAGGGACTGCCTGTATTTTAGTTAGGTTATTATTTGTATCCATTTAAACTTTTCTGCACATTACACACATTAAAATATCAGAAACAGCAAAAACAAAACAAAAAACCCAAATCCAGTTATTCGTACATTTCCACTAATTCCCAAACAACAAATAGTGGACATACTATTTTATTCAAGAACAGAGAAACATAAAGGTGTCTATTTCTATTACAAAATTTCCTTAACATAACTGCAATGTTAGCGCGTAAAATTATATGATCCCCTTCAACTGTTGGGCTTACTCTACTATCAGATTTTTTTTAAAAGTTAACTCCTGATTTTTTTTCTTATATCACTGTCCATAGATGCTGTGCCATAGAATAGATTAACAAAAGCTGGTAAGGAAAATAAAGAGTGTGGAATAACAGCACATTTGCAATAAATTGTCAGTTTATTATCCCATATTCATTATTGTTTATGATGTTATGTGTCAAAGTATTTCTGAAACACTGGCACAGGATTAAACAAAATCACATGTTATACTGCTGATATCCCTATCTTCGTAGTTATATATTTTAGCACTCTAGATTCACCTTCTATTGGCATTTATTAGTTTATCCCTGTTATTTAATGCAACAAAGTCAGAAATATAGAACATGCTTGAAAGCGTCATGGAAAACATTTGTTTTGCTCACCATCAGATATTTTTTTCCATGTGTTTTATTGCTAAAGTAGAGGAGGTGGATTTGTCAATCTATTATACATACCTGTCTAAATTTAGCTCTTGCTTCCTTTTCCTTCATTCTTCCATGTGCAACCAAATAGTCAAATACCTCGCCTGCAATTGAAATGTATCAATGATTAAATGAGAACCGCTGAGTATCTTAAAACCCTAGCTAGTCAACTCAAAATTTAGGATTGGTTCTGTAATTGTAAGAGTTACATAAATGGTAGTGAGCTACAGAAATGTCAAAAATTTGACCTAAATTTGAGTTTTCAGTTTTTAGTTATGATTTTTCACATGAATAATCAGGGCTCGACTAATTATACAATCTACTCGCCCAGGGTGAGTAGATTCTAACCTGGAAGACTGCAAGGATGGTGAGCGGGGCTCACTGCAGTTCGGCGAGCCCTGTAAATAATTATAGACAGCACTACATTTTCATTTTTGCAAAAGGCTCATGGCAAGAGACCAAAAGAGTGATTTACTACTATATCAATCTCAATGAGAAAAGAAAGACTTAAAGAATTAGCTGAGTGCCTGAATGTAGGCAAAATATTAGTTTTTCAATTGCTTATGGTAAAAAATAAGCCACATGCCTTCCTTTAAAAAAAGACCTGAATTCCTCTCAGATTTCTATTAGAAAAACATCTGCTACAACACAGAGATGGACTGTCTTAAGCCTTATCCACAGTTAAAAAACCATTACATGATCTGAAATTGAAATTTTCAGCGGGTACTTTTTACAAGGGTATCAGAGGCAGCAGGACCCAATGCTTGTGGGAAGCTGGTTTTTATGCAGGCTCCCCACAAGCAGCAGTTCCCACGTACCCTTATTGATTAATCCAAGTCGATAATATGAGGCAGCAGTGCGGGAGGGGGGAGCTGTGTGTATCAGTTTACTCATTTACAGCACCACATCTCTAGATTAAAGGATCTTGTAATTAAGGTTGTAGTCTCAGAGTGTAATATATACATAGTTCATCTAAATGTATAAAATATAACGATGATGGAAATCCCTATTTTAACTTGAGGTGAAAATAAAAAACGGGGTCTTCATTGTAAAAACCATCCAAGTAAACACCAATTAACATGATGAAGCAAGCCCCAATTTAAACTTCATATCTAAGACATTGAAGTTTTCTTCAATCCTGGCATAACAGGTCCCTGGATTAATTCCAAAATATAAAGGAAACACAATTCAACGTGACTATAGGAATGTCTGAAGGACATAGAATGCAACAAAACTGAAAAGGATTGCAGTTTAAACCGTCAATGTCTGACATTTTGTAACTGGCCTACAAACTAATTTGTATTGCTACCTATTCCAGAGAAATATTGATTTGTCACAATGTAACTTAAATGTTTTTCTACTGAAAAACTATAGGCATTAGATACGGAAGAGGTAATGCCATCAGATACATAAATAGGTCTTTTAGTACAAATAAAATCATGTAAACAATCTGTAAAATATTGAAGCAGATCAAACCACTATTTTAAACACATTTAAATGCTCGCAGATAAATAAGAAAATTTCACACACAACTTAAAGGAAAAATACATACTTAAAATATTTTTAATTTTGAAGTAGTCACAAACCGGAATCAAATCAAGCTGATTTAAGTAGAGTGTACACAATAGACTACAAGAACACAATATATAACAAAAGGAGTGTGCATGAATTGTTTGCTAAGTTCTCATTTTCTGAACAAACTATTTTTTGCTTTCCAGAGCAGTAGTTAAAATTAACAATAAATGAGACAATCCCTTAAAATATATCTTATAGCCATTTCTTTTTAAAGTATTTTAATAAATAAATGAGGAGCCCTGGGGTGCTTTAAAGGCTAACAGATTTATTTGGGCATAAACTTTTTGTGGGTAAAAACCACTTTATCATATGCTTGTCGTTTTTGCAGCTACAGACTAACACAGCTACCCCTCTGAGATCAGTAAATAAAAATTCTAAGACATGAAGGGAACCAGAAAAAGAAAATCCAACTAACGCTATTCATCCAAAATATTTCAGGAAAATCAAAAACAAAGAGAGACAGTAGTTCAAATAACTGAGGGAGTTAGTGAATTGTTGATTTAAGTTGAAGCACATGACTAAATTGTAGATAGAGGGGAATCTTGGGAACTGAATCCATACTGGCACATACTATCATCTGCTATTATACTTTCATGCAGTATATTCCATGGGTATATAAAAGCAGTAACGGTTCTGTGTCAAACATACAGGTCTCTCCCATTTCAGCTAAAAGAACCGTCTTGGGCCTGGTCTACACTATAGAGTGAGGTTGATTTAAGGCAGCTTATACTGACCTAATTGCATTGTGTGTACAGGCCTGCCAACGAGGCAGGGAACCTGAGTAAAGGGAGCAACTGCTCAGGGGACAGGATAATTTAAAATGGCTTGGGGGCTCCAGTAATGCACAATTCAGGTGCTGCCTGGCTGATTTGGCAGCATGTGTTCAGGTGACCCTCTTCGATGTTGCTCCATCCCACAGCAGCTGCTCCAGGGACCCTCACCCTAGATGTACAGGGTGTGCTACTGTTTGGGTGTCCCCCAAAGAGAGAGGGTGTATAGACAACAACAACTCAGGAGTACTCAAGTCATATGGAGCTTGCTATATATAGTCTAGGGTGAGTGTTTGCCTGCCTTGCTTGAGCAACCAGCTCAGTCACACTCACACTCACAGTGCTGTCTGGTTGTGTGTCTGACACAATCTCTGTCCTGTCTGTCCCCCCAGTTGTACTATTATCGTTATTAGTTCCTGTAATGCACACATATGCTATTTTATTTTTGAACTGTATTATTTGTGTGTTTTGACTGGTCTATATATTTCACAATTTTTATTTCTCTGATTTAAATTTAATTCTTTGAGTAGTGATTTGTAAAATGCCTAATCTGACCTGGCTGGAGTAATTATCCTTATGGTAGCTTTTTTTTTTAAATAAATAAATAAATTGGCTAGATATGTTTGTATCTACTGGCGGTGCACATCCACACTTACCTTGGTGCACTAATTTTTTCCCATCCAGTGAGCAATAAACAGGAAACATGACAACAGTGCAGCCGGCAGCAATTTGCTAAGCGCCAGCAGGACAAGTGCATCACGACCCAGACATCAGGATAACTGTGACAGAGGGTCCCGCATCATAGAGGGGACCTACAATTGTTGTCAGTGGGCCTGCATGTTTATAATACCACCTTATTCCCTCACCCTCAGGCGTAATAATTCAACCTCCACAAGAGGTGTGAGACTTACACTGGTATATTTAGGGCAATGTAGTGTCTGTGTAGACACTACAGGTTATTTACATCAGCTGCTAGCTGTCATTCTCATCAATTTCACAGCTCCCTGAAAGACCCAGACAGGAAATTGACAAGAAAGTCAGATTTACAGATTGGACTGTAACACCAGGGCAGATGGAGGGCTCCAGCTGGAGCCAGAGCTGGCCTCAGGCTCTAGGTTTCAAGCCCAGCTGCCACGCAGGCTTCCCATTGGGAGTAATGCAGCCGAGAGCCCAGGGCAGATGGAGGTAAAGTGGCAGTTGAGCTCCTGATGGGGAACAGGTAGCCAAGTGCCTGGGGGTTGGAGGAAAGCCGTGCATGGAACTGAGACCCTGGCCTCTCAGCCCTCCACACTGCCCCTCTTAAGTCAGTGGAAGCACTCCTAATGAGGGTGCACACCACTGACAGGAGTTAGTACAGCCACAAACCATAGCAGCAATTGCTAAGATGGCTATAAGATAGATGTTCTAATGCTGATCTACTTAAGTCTATAGTACAGACATGTCCTCAGTTATTTGTAATAATTTTGGGCCTTCTATACTCTGTAAGCCAGTCACTAGATGGCAGTATGGCCTCACTTTTGAGTAAAAAAATACCAACTAGTAGGAAAAGGTGAACATACACTAGTGAGCTCAAACGTACAAAGGTCAAAAAAAGCTAACAATGTTAGACACCATTAGGAAAGGGGTAGATAATAAAACAAAATATTATGCTACTATACAAAACCACAACAGACCCACAGTTTAATGTGTGTGCAGTTCTGATCACCCCGTCTCAAAAATATTTTTATTTTAGTACAGAGAAAGGCAACACAAATGGTTTGTGATATGGAACTGCTTCCATATGAGGAAAGATTAAAGAGATGAACTGTTTCATCTTAGAGATGACTGAAGGGAGATACCACAGAGGTCCATAAAATCACAAATAGGTTGAAGAAAGTTAATGAGGAAGTGTTAACAACCCCTTTTACATAACAAAGCAGGGGGGTCATCCAATTAAATTAACAGGCAGCAGGTTTAAAAACAAATAAGGAAGTACTTCACACAACACACAACCTGTGGAACTTATGGCCAGGGGATACTGTGAATCTCAAAAATATAACTGTGTTTAAAAAGAATTAGGTAAGTGCATAGAAGATAGATCCAACCAAGACGGTCAGGTATGCAACCCCATGCTCTGGGTATTCCTAAACTTCTGACTGCTAAAAGCTAGGATTTCAGAACAGGGTCACTTGATAAACGATCCTGTTCTGTTCACTCTCTATGAAGCATCTGGTACTGGCTACTGTCAGAAGACAAGGTATTAGGTTAGATGAACAATTGATCTGATCCAATATAGCCATTCTTACATTATTACTAGCAGAGTTATCCAGCATTGCCTGGATCCTTCAGGGCAAGAGGCTGGCCATGTGTGGAGGATAGGGAAGGTGCAGGATTCAGGGTAAGGCCTTAAGAATGTGGAGGTGGGGGTACAGGAGGCTGGGGGCAAGAAGGTATGAGTGAGGCTTTGGGGGTGAGGAGCTCAGGTCGGGGGGCTCCCATCCAGCATGGGTCTTTTCTTTCCCCAAACCTTCCCCCGGTTGCCAGGGACATTTTTTCTCCCTCCAGCTGCCAGTGGCCTTCCCCCTCCACTCCGGGCCTAGCTCTTACTGTTTAGGAGGAGTTCTTGAACGAATGGACTCGCAGACAAATGCATTCTAAAATATCGATAGATACCCTTCCATACCATTAAGCACTATTTAGACAAAGTTAGTCTATGCGTCTAAGGCACCTAGGAGTTCAAATACCTAGGAGTTCAAATATCAAAGGCCAGAACACAATTCATAACAGCAACCAATCATGATATCCCAGATATGCCGCACAAAAGCAATGGGACCCAATGGTGAAACTTTGCTCTTCTGTTTTACAGGACAAACATCGGTCTACTCATAAAACTGAAGACCACAGAATCAGACTACCAGAACTGTAAGAGGCCTTGAGAGGTCATCAAGTCCAGTCCACTGCACTCATGGCAGCACTAAGCACTATCTAATGATAGAGATTCCACAAGCTCTAGCAATTTATTCCAGTGCTTAACCACCCTGACAGGATATTTTTCTTAATATCCAACCTAAATGTCCCATGCTGCAATTTAATCCCATTGCTTCTTGTCCTATCATCAGACATTAAGGAGAATAATTTTTCCTCCCTCCTCCTTGTAACATCCTTTTAGGTACTTGAAAGCTGCTATCATGTCCTCTGTCTTTTCTTTTCCAAATGAAACAAAACCAATTATTTTAGTTTTCTAGACCTTTAATAATTTTTGCTGCTCTTCTCTGGACCTTCTCCAATTTCTCCACAGCTTTCCTGAAATGTGGTGCCCAAAACTAGACACAATACTCCAATTGAGGACTAATTACTGCAGAGTAAAATGGAAGAACAACTTCTTGTGTCTTGCTTACAATCCTTCTGTTAATGCATCCCAGAATGATGTTTCCTTTTTTTCAAACAATTGACTCATTCAGCTTGTGGCGTACTATGGCCTCCTAGATCACTTACAGCAGTACTCTTTCCTAGACAGAGACTTCCCATTTTGCGTGTGAGAAACTGACTGTTTTTTCCTTAGTGTAGTACTTTGCATTTCTTTTTATTGAATTCCAACCAATGGAAGTAGCAGGGAAAACCTCCAGGCCACTTCTGGTTCCACTTCATCACAAGTTGGACATGGCAAAGGGGTTAGGGGCTTTCTTTCCCCACCCCTCATTGGGAAGCTGGTGCTCCAACCTTGCTGGGGGGGGAGGGAGAAGGTGGGGAGCCCTGAGCTCAATGGCCACAGTTTGAGAACCACTGTTTTAATTAAGAGGGCCACTTAAATCAGAATAGTCCATATTTCACCAGTATTCAAAAACAAGAAGTGCAATATTGAAGTATTGGTGATTTAATAAGATTTGCTAAACTTTCTACCTGAATGTTATACACCATTAACTCATACAACAGTACATCTGAATATACTTAACTTTAACAAAAACCATACCATTGATACCAACTGTGATACCAATTCCAATTTAGTGTGATTATCTTTATTTCACAATTACCACTATTCTGGACTGATCAATGAAATAATGAAAAAAATTCCCTCTGGATTTCAATAAAGCTTACCTTTCTTCTAAACTAAGTCTGGACAAACTGACAGACATTACTTTATTGTTTTTTAAAAAGTTTAAGCTTTAAGAAAATGTCTCCCAAAATACTAACATTTCACATGAAAATGCATTATTATGCACTATTATTAAATCAATATTTCTTATTTTAAGGAGCATCACATAGAAAGCTTCAATATCATTTGGCAATATACTTGTATCATGTAAAAGGAAAATACTTACCGCCACTTGCATATTCCATGATTAAGTAGAGAGTTTTTTCAGTTTCAATTACTTCAAATAACTTCACTAGAGAAAAAAGAGCAGTAATTTACTAAAAGATTAGAACCAATTACAGAAGTCTAGTTTTTTAAATAGTTTTTGTTGAAGATTCCCTCAAAGAAGACTACTGCTACTTGACAGTATCAAAGTAACTCTTTTTAAAAGTAATTATTTTCATTTCATGCTTCCAAATGAAAAAACTGAAAGGCTTTATCAGTAGTATGTAGTCTAGGTCAAGCTATTATAAATGTACAATTCTGGCTTGAAAAAAAACCCACTCAGTTTTAGGGTCACGTGAAAGTCAATTTAAGCATAGCTCTTAGAAAACAAGTCTCTGGGTAACAATAATTTATTTATTTATATAATATATATATATTATATTTAATTTTCAGGGTAGGTTACTGCCTCAGTATTGCCTGCAACTCCAAAAGATAGAGCTATCACTTTAAATACATTTTACATTCTGAGTGCCTTCTCCTCTCCCAAGGGATCAATGTTTTTAATTTTATTTAAGTGAAAGTTTACATTCTGGGGCACTATGCAATACACAAAGAACAATTTGCAGTAATCACATTATACACAGGGTCTCAGGTCCTAAGTATTCTTTCTCTCTCTTTAAAAAACACTTCTCATATATAGTAGTATAGTAGCCAGGCCAGGCAAGACTATGCATCCAATGGAATGTCCTTACACTAAAACATTTATCTCCCTATCATGATTCTAAGCAGGCTCCATGACACAGAACCTTCATTATATTTGTACACACTTTAACTTTAAACAATAGTTACTCACCTTTCCATAACTGTTTCTTGAAATATGCTGCACATGTCCCTTCCACTGTAGGTATGTGTATGCGCCAGTGTACAGCTGGGAACTTTTTCCCCCTAATAGTTCCCATCAAGTTGGAATGATTACCCTCAAGTGCCTTTCATGCAGGCATAAAAGAACTTGCCCTCTCCTCGGTTTCAGAAAGACTGATAGAGAAGGGAAGGAGAACAGGTCATGGAATGGACACGTGCAACACATCCTGAAGACCAACAGTAATGGAAACATTAGCAACCTTTTTTCTTCGAGTGATTGCACATGTCCATTCGACTGTAGGTGACTCAAAAGCCACCCATCCCCAACTGAAGGTGCATTTGGAATCTATTTGAACAGGAACTCTAGGACCACTCATTCAAATGTAGCATTGCCTTTAGATTGCTAATAATGCAGTGAGAGGCAAATTAATAACAAGATGTCCAGCTTGTCTTTCCAAAAGTCTCATATGGGCAAGTTTGCTAGAAATACTACTGTATTACGGTTGATTGGGAGAGAAATTCTCTCTTGCGGCTTCATGTTAGCAAACACAAATGAATATCTATGATGAAATCTTTTGTGTGGAAACAAAACTGCCCTTCATTTTGCCCACAGAGCCAACAAACAACTTAAATTAAGATATCTTTTAGCATCTAAAGTGTACAATCTCGTCTCACATTTGTTACCAGTGAGGCTTTGGGGAAAAGGTCAATAAGAAAACTTCTTGCTTGGGTAATACAAAAAGAGGAGACCCTTTTTTAAAAAAGAAAACTGTTTATGGAGGATCTGATGTTAGTTCCCCCTCAACCCCACTTTCCTGGCTGATATTATGACTACTAAAAATGTTATATTCAGTGAAAAGTGCAATAGATAGCAGATTGCTGGAGGCTCAAAGAAGGGACCCATCCACTTTAAGATTAGATTCAAGAGCCATGGTGGAATATGGTTCTGTACCTGCATAAATAGTCTGTTCAAACCCTTTAAACATCTGACAGGCATTGGGTTGGGAAAGAAGGGGATTGTTATCCACAGGTGAGTAAAATGCTTAGATAGCCTCTAGCCAATCTTTGAAGCTTCAGGTACAGCACATAGTCCAGCTTTGATCAAACAGAAAGTCAATTCCATTTAGCTGTGAAAACCAGTTCTGACAGTGCCATAACAAGGCATACAGTAAGACATGCTTGCTTGACCTCACACAAACCTCGGCTAAAGAGAGATGTGGAAAAGTATGTATTGCAGAAGCTCTGACCATAGCAAAAGAAAATCATCTATCAATAAACCCAGGCTATGTCCCACTTTGGGAAAACTGGTGACATTTTCTGTCATTGTTGGTTGCAAACAGATTAATTTTGGGATTTTCCCAAGATGGAAAATGGAGCTTGCTGTGTCTGGTCTGCTCATGGCGAGTGCTTATCAATCTGCTCAGACAGAGTATTCCGAGACTCTGGGAAGAAGGCTGCTTTCAGAAGTATGGCATTCATTGCCAATATACAAGTCCCACAGCAGAACTACTTTCCCAAGAGAGTAACAAGGACCGGGCCCTTTCTCATTTACTTACATAAAACATGACTGTCATATTCTCAGTCAGCCCCAACAAGCTTTTTTACCTGATGTGAAGAAGGAAGATCATGCAAGCTAATCAGATAGTCTGCAACTCTCTGATGTTTATGGGCAGACAGCTATCTAGGAGACGGGAGGATTTTCATCCTCAACTCAGGTCCAAAGCAACTATGACTAAAAAGAAAGATTGTTGAGGTACTGCAAAAGGAACTACCTTGTAGCCACTGGTAGAGTCTGTCCACCAAACTAGGGTAGATAGATGATTTGGTACATTCACTGATAGGTCTATATGGTGCCTTCTTAGAGGATAAGTCTCTGCCAACCAACCTTGATGACCTGGCATATTGAACCACAGAATGCATGCTGCCATATGTTCCTGCAGCCTTGCACAGCTTTTTGCTATGGTGAGGGGATAAGTCTTTGAGTTCAGAATAAAGCTTGCATTGCATGGAACCTTAAAAGTGGTAGTGAGGCTTGCTCATTATCATGCCCATTACTGCTTCAATATACTATTTTCTGTACTGGAGATAGGACTGACATGTCTGTGTCGACCACCAGGCTGAGACATTCAAGGTGGATTAGATTTGCTTATGCTAGATACTACCTGCAGCGTGGATTGACTTCTTATCTGCCAGTCATCCAGGAAAGGGAAGACTTGGATCCCTGTCTTCTAGAGAACTGCAGCTCTGATAAACAGCCATATGAAAGCAAACATCCTTTATATCAAGACCAGCACAGTAATTCCCCAGCATCAGGGAGGGGTGCTAGAGTGATTATCCAGAATTATTTTTTAACTGCCTTAGATCTAAAATGGTCCTGAAACCCCCTTTTGCTTTCAGGATCAAGAAGTATTCAGAGCAAAACCCCTTTCCCTTAAACAAAGGAGGGACCGTCTCTATATCCTACAAGGAGCTGTAATTGTGTATCTGTCAGTAACACTATTTTGTGAGTTTCACTGTCCTTCGTATTCTCCAATCTGCTGTGGTGGGAGCCTAAGTACAACAAAAGTCAGATGGTTTACAAAACTTGGAAAAGAAAAAGATGGCACTCCTAAAGCTGGTAAGCTGCTCTTGACCTGCCAACCAAATGAGGTACTGCAAGATCTGCCTGCCTTGAGGAACTGGCACTGGCATCAGCGAGTGGTCGTGGTCACCTTTTGTAGCCTTTGGCTGCTCCTTCTTGGCAGGCCCTGGGCTTAAAGAGCAAACCTCTGAAAATGGAATATTTTTCACTTCATGGCTGGGGGGCAAATGCTCAGAGTTGCTTTAGTCTTTGAGATTATGCAGAGTCTTGTCAGTCTGTTCTGAGAACAATGATCCTTCAAAAGGGAGATGTCAAACTGTCTGTTTCACTTCTGGAGGAAAGCCAGAAGAGCATAACTAGGATGAGCACTTCATTATAATAGCAAAGACCATGCCACAAGCTACAGAATCTACTGCATCTAGACCCTGTGGAATAAAGCTTCCTTCTAAATAAGTTAAGCTTCTTGGTGTGTTTATTTTCTGGAGTTGATGTATGGTGCCACTACCAGGAGAAGAATACATAAGACGGGACCTAGTACCTCCTCTCCATTTTTTTTTAACAACTGACAGCAGGAAAGCTGGGGTAGGGATATAAAATCCCATTCAATTGGTTAACTGGTTAAATCAGAAATTTAACTGATAAGAAGGGGGGAGGCAGGCTTCCCCGCCCTTTCTCCACTGCCACAGCCAGGCTGGAGTAGCCCCTTTACCTTCACCCCACCCAACTGGGGCCTGCTATGGACAAGAGCTACACTGGATTCCCAGAGCAGCCTCTGTCCGCAGCAAGCCCTGTGGCTGACGGAACCGGTAAGCATCACCAATTAAGGTGGGGTTAACCAGTTAGCCTTTCACATCCCTAGCCTGCGGTCTGGCAAAGGACTTTGGTCAGTTCTAAAATAGCTTCATTTATAGGGAAAGCTATTCTAGCTGGGGTCGCAGATACAAAGATGTCCATCAGCATGTGGAATTATTCTTGGATTACCTCTAGTACGATGTCCAGGACCATAGCCATCAACTTCAGCAACTCCTGATGAACTTTACAATCATCAGGTGACAGAAATGCCTCATCAAGGGGGTGAGGAAGAGGATGATAATGGTAGTGGGGGGAACTGTCTAGTTCTTGCTTTTCTATTGGCTGCTCACAAGAGGGATCTTGAATCTGTTTGATGTTGGGCTTTGTATCAACACTTGAGGCATCAATGCTTCTAACAGACATTATGTGAAACTCATTGAGGTGGCGGGACTCCCACTGGCTCCAAAAAAGCTATTGTTACAGCCCCACTCCCCAACTGTGTGTGACCTAAGGGTCCCTTTGATAAGCCCCTTGCTGTTAATGAGACTGAAACCAGGGTGGAAAAGCAGAATACTCTGGATGGTGGAGCTGACTAGGTTAGGGCACACACAGGATCCCACTACACCACCAGTCAATTAATCAAAATTTAACATCCCTCCACTTCATTACCACAAGTGTGTCAGGACTTGAAACCCAGAGTGTGGCATATCTCTGGTACTCAAACTGGATGCCAAATCTACACAATTTTTTTTGTCATTATCCACTTTAACTTCTAAACTACATTAACTATACTATGGGTACTATTTACAGGAGTGATTAAAGACTAGCAGAAGCAAGGAAAATGCGCTCCAATAACTATTACAGATGGCAGGAAAGAACTGAGGGGACTGGGTATGACTTGGCTCTTTGTTCCTGCAGTATGACAGGTAGCAGAAGGTGGGCATTCTGCCCTACCACACATCACTAAGAAAACACTCGAGTTCCAGTGCACAATTGTGTCACAAATCTACAGCAAAATGGACATGTGCAATCACTCCAAAAATAAGCTCTCTCTTAAAAGAGTTACATAGTAATAACATGTGAGGAAAACACGAAATACCTATATTTGGGTGATTTAAAATCTTCATTATTCTTACTTCTCTGAAAAGCTGAAATAAAAAAAGATAATAGGAAATCAAACTAGTGACAAAACAATTACCATTCATTCCTTTCTAAGAGGCTGATACTACATTTTCCACTTTCAAATGGACAGAATAAGCTCTTTGCAGACAAGAGTGAAATGCCAGCTTTAAAAAAAGTTATTCTAATGGGATACTGGATACTTCAACAGATAAATGGCAGCTTTAATTGCTAGGTAATTGGTTTTGATCCAGTTCATTTTATTTAGTTTCATTAAAAGGTCACCTTTATTCTTTATTATAGTCATACTTACTGCTACATTTCCTATTCCAAGTACTAGGAATACTATGATGTATTAAAGGATTTTATTTTAAGATAGTGACTGCTAAACCTTCTGATAGCTGTTTGTTAGTCACAGTCAAGTGATTGGTCACCATCAACTGTTTACATCACAAAGCACAATTTTTTTTATACTGCCAATAAGCAAGGATTAATTGGGAAGAAGGAGAGGGAAAATCGCCTTCTTGGATCTAAAGGAGGGTCCCTCGAAGAAAGAACTGAGGCACAGATATAGGGATTCATGAGATTGATGCCTGCTCTGTCACAGCCTATAATGTATTTGTTCTGCAGCGAGACAGCCAAATTTGAGCGAGAGGGTATGTAAATCCAATACCTTTCATGAATACTACATCTACTCACCAAAATGAATTAAAGCAAACAAAATTTATCACACTTCCCTTCAATTATAACAAGCAGACAATTATTGATCATGAAGTCCAGACAAAGCCTCACATCTAGAGTCTTACTGCTAAATTAAATGTCCTTTATTATCTTTCAGTTTTGTGAATGGGAAGGACCTTGCTTAATGAGATCTCAGAGGGATATACAGGGTTAGGAGGGGATTGCCTTCCAGTTGAATTTTGGGACAGGAAGGCATACAAACCATGCCTCTCCTTGATGGGACTGCTCAATGGAAATTCCACAAGTGGGAACTTTGTTACTTATATGAAGAAGAGCCCATATAGGAAATGGGAAGCGTGGGAGCTTTGAGCTTGGAAAAGAGATGACTAGGGGAGGATATGATAGAGGTCTATGAAATCATGACTGGTATGGAGAAAGTAAAAAAGGAAAACGTTTACTTGCTCCCATAAAACAAGAACTAGGGGTCACCAAATGAAATGTATAGGTAGCACATTTAAAAACAAGCAAAAGAAAGTAGTTCACACAATACACAGTCAACCTGTGGAACTCCTTGCCACAGGATGATATGAAGGCCAGAACTTTAACAGGGCTCAAAAAAGTACTAGATAAATTAATGGAGGCTAGGTCTATCAATGGCTATCACCACAAGCTGGGAATGGGCAACAAGAGATGGATCATTTGATGATTACCTGTTTTGTTCATTCCATCTGGGGCACCTAGCATTTGTCACTGTCGAAAGACAGGACACTGAACTAGCTGGATCTTTGGTCTGACCCAGTATGTTCTTATAAATATTTTTAAAGTTATACAGTAGTCCAATTTGACATATTGTATACACACAAATGTTAGGCTGACATTTTATTTTGTGTCCAAATAAGATAATCAGTCCCCAATTTTCTGATGTACAATCAAGATGACAATTACACTAAGGCAAAGTCTTGGATTAAAAAATGTTAAAAGGCAAAATTGTCTATTCTCTCTGCATTTTGCTCTAACCTCTTATTTTGTTACACTGAAAAACTAACAAGAAGGTCATGTTATTTATTATGTAGTATTGTCTTCAAAAACTTGATTCTGAACACTATAAATCAGGGCTACTCAACTTTGGAAGCCCCAAGGGCCACAACGATATTCACAGCACATGCCGAGGGCTGCAACTTAAGTGTGATTGCATATACATGCAAATATATGCAAATAGTTTATTTCACACTGACGGGCATGAATATAAAGCACTTTCCACAATGCCCAGGAGCTCCTGGCACCTCCTCCCTGGGGGCTAGAAACATCGACATCCTGTACCCATCTGTTCCAGCCAGCCCATTCGCTTGAGTCTTTCAATGCTCACCCCACCTGGGAGATGCCTCACCATTGTGGAGTGTGTTCCCAGTGGAGGCCATGGTCAAAGGATCCCACGCACAGGCCGTGTGTTGAGCCCCGCGTAAACCCAAACCATACCGCGGGCCACAAACAAATGGGCCACGGACCGCATGTTGAGTAGCCCTGCCATAAACTTTTATTTTCTCTAACAAGCAATCTAAATATAAGATAGACATCATCATAAGAACATTGAATTACAAATGCTATTGTATATATATTCCCTTTTATTTTGCAGAGGTCTATTCCCAGGAGGCTTGAAACGAGGGGACACAAAGAATCATCTTTTTAGGTAGCGCAGTAAGTTGTAATCAATTGCAAACTGTTCACATCATCCCAAGAGTCCAGATGGTTAGCACTCTCAAATCTTGATTACTTTGTGAAAGACACACTGGCTTGACAAAAGAGGGAGCAATCAAGAAGTTATATTTTAAATTTAAGACTAGTCTCACAGCTACACTAGTAAATTAAAAGGCTATGGCATGCTTAACAAAGAAAGCTTTGTGTGGAAAACATACGCATTAGAGGAGTATGGACAAAAATGAGAATTTGTTCAGAGCCTAGAGGATCCTGCCAACTAAGTCAGAAATAAGAATGAATGACAAGAACGTTAATTATACGAGTTTCCTTCAACACAGATCTGTCCACACATTCTTAAACATTATCATCTTTCCTTTTTTGAGTCCCCCCCCTGTAATCTATTGGGAGTAGTAGCTGCAGTTATGGCTCATGGACATTAAAACAGTTTACATTAAAAAGATTGGGGTGTGAGAAACAAAAATAAGAACCAACAAAACTGAGGAAAATAAAATCCTTCTAACAGTATATTGGGCTGAGTTAATAGGAGCACTGCCAACAGACCAACAGGAATAATTATTCCTCTCTACTCAGCACTGGTGAGACCACATCTGGAGTACTGCATCTGATTTTGGGACCTCCCACTACCAAAAAAAAAAAGGAGAGAATCCACTGGGATTATTTAATATGCAGAAGAGAAAAATGAGTAGGGTTTTAATAGCAGCCTTCAACTACCTGAAAAGGTGGGCAGGTTCCAAAAATGATGGAGAAAGGCCATTCTCAGTTGTGACAGATGACACAGCAAGAAGCAATGGTAGGGGCAGCGGCCGGTTCCCACCAGCTCCTGCTTTCCCCAACACTGATACAGAGGCAGCAAGGGCAGGAAAATGTGAGTAGTCAACTAGATTAACCAATAAGCCTAGGCTTATAGGCTGGTTAATCAGATAGTCAACTATTCGTTCACACCCCTACTCCTAACATCT